GGTGGATAAAGAACAGAGGAAAGCCGTTGTGGTGAAAATTGCAATACCAAGTGACCACAACATCAGCAAAAAGGAGCATGAGAAACAGGATAAATACCAGGACCTCAGAGAGGAATTGGAAAATACCTGGACGGTGAAGACCACAATGGTGCCTGTGGTCATCGGGGCCCTCGGGGCAGTCACCCCCAAACTGGAGCAGTGGCTAAAACAGATCCCAGGAACAACATCAGACATCTCAGTCCAGAAATGTGCAGTTCTAGGCACAGCTAAGATACTGCGCAGAACCCTCAAGCTCCCAGGCAGGTAGAGGACCCGAGCTCAGAGGATGAAAGAGACCACCCGCGGAGGGTGAGAAAGAAAAAATAATAATAATATATATTCTACTGGTAAAGTATGAAAAAAAAAGAAACCTCATTACATTAATTTAAATCAGTTTTAACCAGTAACTGTGGTCCTTTGCACAGTAAAGGCTAAATTTACAACTTTCAGTGTTAAGTTTTTAAATGCCTCGACATTTTCTGTACCATACTAATTTCAAATGTATTTCAGCCTTTCAGAGCAGCTTGGTGGTTGGGAAAAAAAAAAAAAACTCATGTAAAATCACTAGAATTTATTTAGCACCATTTAAAATAGCCACTCTTGCTATCCATTAACAGTGCTTTACCCGCAGATAAGGTTTATGGTGGACCCCAAAAATTCTGCGTAAAATACCCACAAAAGAATATCTTTTTTTTAAGCAGCTACTTTGATGACATTCATGAAAAGTAATATAACTTGTTGTGGTGCTGAAAACATAAAAGTTACTGCCAAMATTAAATAGTCAAATACATGTATTTTAATTGTGTAAGATCTTTCATTTGTACAATACATGTTTTGCTGTTTTTGACAGTGTCTGAAAGACTTGAAAAATGTACATTTCCATGACACCAATACGGAACAATTTTGGTAGCCACAAGAAAATATTTAGTCACATCTGTAATTAAAGTGTTGTAGGGGCAGTTTCACATAGCAAACAGGATAAGGAAAGCAATCATCAAACAGAAGAGTCCCATAGCTTCAGACAGGGCAAATCCCAGGATGGCATATGAGAACAGCTGCTGCTTCAGAGATGGGTTCCTGAAAACAAAACAAAAAAGTTGTAAATGAATCCAACTAGAAATGTGTGAAATGATTTGGAGATATATTGTGACATGATTAAAACAAACCTGGCATAACCAATGATGAGACTACCGAACACTGTCCCAATTCCAGCACCAGAGCCAGCGACTCCAACAGTGGCAGCCCCGGCACCAATAAACTTAGCAGCGGTGTCGATGTCCCTGCTGATGGCGCTGGTCTGGAAGCCTCTCAGTGTGACCTGAGCGAGGGGATTCTGTGGCATCACAGCAACAGTGCTCTGCATCAATAATAGAAAAATATTAGTGTTCACTTTAGAATAGAAACAGCCTTTATTGTCCCGCGCGGGGAAATTCAGGTGTAGTAGCAGCAGCAAGTACATACAGGAAAAATAATAATAAATTAGCAGCAAAAAAAAATTGAATTAAAGATAGTAATAATAAAAAATAAACATTGATCAAAATAAAAATTACTGTAACAGACTATCAAGG